TACTAGGAGCAAAGGGCATCGCTACTAGGAGCAAGGACGCTACTAGGAGCAAAGGGCATCGCTACTAGGAGCAAGGACGCTACTAGGGGCTCCTGGCATTGCTACTAGCAAGAAGCTACTAGGAGCAAGGACGCTACTAGGGGTTCTCATTGATTCTTCAGCCCTTTACTGCCGTCCACTGGGAGACCCACAGCTCCAAACCCGCCATTGGTGCCTTGCTTCCGCAGCAGCAGCTCCGGTGGTGGTGGCCAAGTGGGCCACACTGCTACAGCCTGCGGTGTAGTTGGGACCATCCAGGATGCCCAGCAGTTGCAGTGTTCAAAGGTCGTTCAGTCCTAGGCTGCTAGTCCTCGTCTTAAAATATATCTTTGAACTGGGCAAGGTTGCTAGTTCAACTGCAATGGATGTCTACCACAGACTAGGGTTGCAAGTTTACACAGTTTTGGGGCAGCGACTCAATGTGTGCGTGTGTGTGCGTCGCCCCTTTTCCAAAGGCCACATGCAGCGGTCAGAACTAGGTGCTTTCAAGGCGACGACTGGGAGATGCGTAGCTTGTGAGGCATCACCATACTAAAGCTTGGCCATGGCGCCAGGGACAGCATAGACGTAAATTGGTAGACCGGGTCACCCATCGAGAACAGCATTTTCAGAGGCTCATTCCAGCTCTTTCAAAAACAGCCACCAACCGTGTTGACTTTGTGAAGAATCATACGGTAGTGGACCACTGAATGTGCCGCACCAATCGGAAACTCCGTGCGAACAGTGTCAGCGTTGTCCTTGGCCAACTTGGCCCTGCCATCCTTTGCATTCGTTGGCCAATATGTTCTGCAGGATTCGGGTGCACAATTGAGCACCACCTCTGCTGAAACAGTTGGCGATCAAAGAGAACATCTACCTGGCTGGCTTACCAAGTGCATACCATCCCATCCTCGCCAATATGGTGGGCTTGCTAGTGTTCTTCTAATTGCTCATCATGAGCAGGGGACACATACAACATCCACCTCTTTGGAGTAGCCCTTCATGATGCTTCACAAGCCAAAGCCCACCAAATATTCATCAGGGACCCTCTGATCTCCCTGATTCAAGGCTCCTCAGGATGCTACTGAATTCTGATGTACTCTGCAGGTGGGGGCGCCACCGGCCGCGATCTCTTGTAGTGGATCCTCATCGCGCCCACGGCGCGATAGACTGACAAACACGGCAGCTGTGGCATTTCAACCCAGTCATTGACGGTCATTGACTTACATAATTTACCATATGAGTGATGATGTACTTATTACGAATATAGAGTTATGTATATATGGGTGTTGATCAAAATAAAGGTATCTGAGGCAGCTACAATCGCCGATCAACCGCGAATCAATCGCGACCCCAACGGTGTCAATCGCGGGAGAGTGCTCTTTTATGCAACACTATTTTACACAAAGAATCGTCGAAACATTGCTACATATCACAGTATTTAGAGACATGGCGTGAGCCAGGGCCTACACAGGCGGGTTTAACAATCGCGGCACAATCGCGGATCAATCGCGAACCAATCGCGGATTTCGTCGACATTTTTTTGAGAATTGAATTGATCTGGGCTGGTAGACTTTGAACTTTGTTGTTCTGATTATTCGTTTTGCTATATTGGCTATCACTATTGAACACAGTGTCTAGGCAAACCCGAATACAGTGTAAGGCTGAATTGTAACATGATTATCATCGCATATAATACTGATTTCTCCTCTTACAATGGTCGATTCTGATACATCAAATGAAATATTTGTCTCACTCGCGAACCAATCGCCGATCAACCGCGATGCAGGGTTTTACAATCGCAGATGCTGAGATACACATGCCCTTTCATAATTCTTAGATTTGCATTTACGATCGGCTCCCATATATATATATATATAGATAGAGAGAGTTACATGCCTGGCACAAATCCCGGTACTATATATAATATCTGGACCTGATGGCCTGGCTCAACTCCAAGGCACACCAAGCACAAGACTCCCATCGACATCATATAGACCCCGATGACCAGGCCAAAACCTGGCTCAACCATCGGCACCCTCGTCCCGTGATGAGAAACATCAGGGTGAGGTGGAAGTTGGCTGTTCCACCGAGGGTCACATAAGCACCAAGTGGCCCCTGGGGGAGGTGTCTTCGGACCAGGCATCGACTCGTGAGGTGCCTGTGCCAAACTGGTGGGTGTTGATGATTTTTGACATAACATGTATGCGCGAGAGTGAGCTTAGTGCATGTTGTTCAATTTGGCTACGTGATCATGCCTAAGTTGAGGTGCCCGACGCGTTTTCGATAGCTGCGTTTTCAGTGCGTTTTCAGTGCGTTTTGTACATTTTGGGGTCGCGTTTTCCATAGGTGCGTTTTCTGTGCGTTTCCTATGGGGCTGGCAGAGCGCAAAAAAAACAAAATGCTTCATACGCCGAATCTCCTTTGCGCCAAGCCAGGGAGAGTGTGTGTGTGTGTTTGTCGGATATGGTCCATCCAAAATGCTTTTTCCCAATTGCAAAAAAAAATGCCGCATAAGCCGAATCTTCTTTGTGCCAAGTAAGGGAGAGAGAGTGTGTGTGTGTGTGTAGGAAATGGTCCATCCAAAATGCTTTTTTCCCAACTGCAAAAAAAACAAAAGGCATCATCAGCCGAATCTCCTTCATGCCACCAATCGAGAGAGAGAGAGAGAATACTGGGCTGGTCTTACGGTTCCTCTTAGCGGGGAGGCAAGCGCCCCCACCAAGAAATGCTGTCGTGTGGTGGGTGCGGCTTACTGCTCCAGCCCCACACGAGGAAACCAGCCCCCCAAAACGGGAATCTCTTTGCGACAGAAGAGAGGGAGACTCTGTGTGGGAAATGGTCCACCCAAAATGCTTTTTCCCAGCTGCAAAAAAAGCAAAGTGCTTCATAAACCAAATCTCCTTTGTGCCAAGCACGGGGGAGTGTGTGTGTGTGTGTGTCGGAAATGGTCCATCCAGAATGCTTTTTCCAATGCTTTTACACCATGGTCCATAGACCACCCAAATGTTTGGACATGTTCCATAGAATGTTTGAACATGGTCCATAGACCACCCAAATGGCATTTATCCAAATCCGATAAAAGCATTTTGGTCTATTGGTATGGCCAAAGCCCCCTCCAGCAAAAGCGCGTTTCTTCTTGATGTTGACCTGCGTTTTCAGTACTTGCGTTTTCAGTGCGTTCTCGCGCGTTTCCGAAAGAGCGCGTTTCCTACCCGGCAGCGTTTTTTTCACAACTTAGGATCATGCATCTATGCTGAAGAATGTCAGGCAGTGGACGCCACCTCTCACAGTCGTGGGAGTGACATTCTCCCCGGGTTTGTGGCCATCTCCGGGCTGGGCGCCCAGGGAAGTACTTCAGGCCCTCACCCGTTCGCGAACGTCCAACGAACAGCCGGGGAGCTTAGCAAGCTGGCGGACAAAGTGCAAAGCGTTCCTGGCGCACCAGTGACGACGAGAAGATCGTCCCACGCGGGCAAGAGACCTGCAAGGTATTCAACCGAACCCTGTTGGCTGCAGAATTCTCATCCTGAGATGATCCATGATGATGTATTATGATATATCATATATCCATATATCGTATATCCTGAAACATCTCAAAGCATCAAAGTCATATGATACACAAACACCTCTATGCCACTATGTGTGGGTGTCTGCGAAGGTATAGAGCAGTGTTATCTCCGAGCAATCTTCACAGCACCCATCGCTCGTTGATGCACTTGGTGGACAACAAACCAAGCTGATGACACCTGATGACTGAGTCTTCGTAGCTTAGCATGTCCAGCCCCTTCGTGTTGTGGTTCAATCTAGAAACAATCCCGCCAGCCCTTTGCATGTCATGGCGGTATGGCTACATGTAGTTCTTCCATTCTGGGACGTGTCTACCAGTCCAGGGAGACAGACTAGCCCGCTCCTCTCGAAAGCCCTTTCTCTTTCTCCCAACTCAGCCGCCCGATCTCAAGCCCCCGGGGCTCGAGACCGGGGGTCTCCCCCGGGGCGGACGCGGGGGCCTCACCCGGGGCGGACAGACAGTCCTTGGAAGACATAGAAGAGACCTCTTCCCCAGAGCATCGTGAGGCCCTTGGCCCACTCGTGCATCCATTTCTGCAGAGGTGTCAGGGTCTCGTGCACTTGGATAAAGGAGGGGTCGCTCTCGGTCACCATGGTCACCACGCCGAAGAAGACCATGTAGGCGTTCACCACGTAGTAAATGGGCTCATCAAAGACCTGAAAAAGACGGGCTCAGAGACTGAAAGACCACCCCAAAAAGGATTAAATGCCCAGGCATTTATATGATGCATACCTGGAACTGACTTCGTTCGGTCCCGATGGGACAAAAAATCATATACCCTATAAAACGGGTACCTAAATAGTTTTAGTATGTTTGAAGGTCCAGGTAAGCATAGGCATGGGGCGACTCTAGCTTGATCCCGGTAAAAAAAAAAAAAAGCTCCCTATTGGGGTGGCCAATTGAAGAAACGCATCTTGACACCCATGCCCCTCCACTTGGCCAAAACATGATGATTTCCCCTGACATCACTCTCAATTTTGGGGTCCTGAGTCTTGAGAACTAATAAATGGAGAAAGACATAGAAGGACCTATTTAAGAAACAAAAAAACATTTAAAAAAAACAAAAAAAAACATCCACCATGTCCATGCATGTCCTCACCCGAACAACCAGCCAGTGGACTCAGTCGATCTCTCTTAGTCTCGGTGGACACCGATTCTTGGGGGTGTGAAGCCGGTTCCGGGTGTGGACGTAAAAACCAGATCAGCAACCCCCTACCATTCATGATGCAAATAATACACAGAATCTGCTGCCAAGTACGTGGTTAAAAAAACTCATTCCCAAAAACTCACAGACATTGCACCGTGGAAATCCTCTGCAAAACGCCAAAAAAATTGTGAGTCCCATATCTTCCTTTTCGGATCTTTTCGCGTATCTGGTCTGCTTCTGCGGCTCCTGCGAACTGTTTGCTGAGGCGCATCGAACACATCGATGACACTGAGAAAGCCATTCAGCACGATCGCCGCACCCCCAGCGAAGCAGCCCACTTTGATGCGATGCGGGGCACCCTCAATGTATTCCTGCATCTCAGCCACTCGGTCCTCGGAATCAAAGAAACAGCTGGGCAGTAGACATAAATGACACGAAATCATGACATCAAGCAGTGGGGAAAGGTTGGAGCCGGGCTGCCAATCAAATGCAAACAGCTGGGTATATAATTGGGGGTTTGGATGGGTTGGTACTAC